CATGAATCTCTATTGAATTTTTATTTTATTTCATTATTTTTAATTTTTTTTTCTGAATAACCAATTTTGACCAACCCGAATTGCTGATCGAGCACTCCGATAGGGATATGTGGGGTAAATGATCTGTCCCACCTATCTCGGTTTTAAAATACTGATTTGTTAAATCCAAAATAATCATTTTTCTTTTTAAATTTTATTTCTTGGCAAGTTTTTTCAGTGACGCACCAATGGATGTGTGCCCATTTAAGGTTGAACAAGTGCCCTTGATGGTGTTGGGTTTATGTGGCTTTTAAAGGCCTTATGAGTGTAATGAAAAACATTTATTATAGTAGAACATAAACTTAATAGAAGTGTGGTCCCTCGAAGACCATACTAAGCAAATGATGTTTGCTGACACCGGACTGTGCTTGACGATCTAGGCCAGTCAGTTGGAAAACCCATGGTACCTGGATATAAAAAATAAACCGAAAAAGGTTTTTAGGTTAGCCCTTGATGAGGTCGTAGCTTATGCTTAAATGAGTAAGCCAAGGGATTGTGTGACCCTTGTGTAGGCCTACAGATACAGGGGCCAAAACCTCATTTATATTCTATCACATGGCATGCATATAGATAGATCGTTCGGGAAAGCCAGATATCCATCTTTGGGTGAAACGTATACATGTACAAGAGATACCCCTATGCGCCATAAAGTTGTGGTCGCATCAGGTCGTGGTGACCTTGACTTGTCTCTAAGAGAAGACCTGTAATCTATAGACTGTGATTGCGACTCCTTGGCTCATCAACTAAACTTTGGTGACTCGCTAATGAACCCCTTCTTGGACTATAGATCATGGGAAACACTGGGTTGGTTCGATAAAACAAGTGTGGTCTGTAGTCCACAGTTGAAAGTGGAGTATCACGTAATCGTTGATAGAATTCTTAAACCATATGGATCCACTTCCCATCATATTAATTTAATTGTGTTCATTTGATTATTTTATATTCATTATTTGAATTTTTATGAATCTTTCAATATTTTATTTATGATTTTCGGAATTATAAATATGAAGTTATTGATTTCACAAATTATATAAAATTTAAATAATGTTTAAATAAAATTTTAAAATATTTATAAAATTTTCATGGGGGCCCAAAGTGCACATGAACCCACCATGTGACAAATGAATGGGAGCCCACATATGCCACATATGGGTGGCATGCCCCACCCATTGCTTCCTTTGCTATTACTTTGATATCAAGTTTTGTAATTTTTGAAAAGTCCATCTTATAAGCATATGGTCAAATATAGTTTGGGAAATATTGACCATATCTTATCTTGATTATTGACAGAATATCTTGACTTGATTTATTGAAATATTCTTATGGAAAATGTAAGATGGATTATGCAATTTTATAAAATGCATGATATTTTAATAATTTTAATTTATTTAAATATATTGATGGGAAAAATGTTTTAAAGAACTGAGGATAATGGTTCATACACCTTCCATAATGTTGATGGTCCATTTATAGATTGGATGGCCCAGATCTCTCACCCTACAAATCACCTTGATCAACGGTCTTTATTCAATCTAAAAAAAGAGACAAACTATGGGAAACCCTAAAGAAACCCTAGACCTAAATTTCACTATAAATAAGGGTGCTCTCCCCCTATCTCTACACACCTCTCTCTCTCCTATAAACGATCTCTCGTTCTTCCCTAGGGGCCATGCCCCTCTCCCTCTACTCTCTGATTTTCTCTCTCTACTCTCTCTCTCTCTCCTAAAAAGACCCTAAGGGGCACGTCCCGACATAGAGACTCTCTCTCTCATTATCTATTCTAAGGGTTGGGAAAATTAGAATTAAGCCTAATTATTATAGAGTTAAGGTTTTGTAGAGATTTATGGGTATTTGGCCGAAATTAGCTTTCCCGGTTCAAGATTGAAACTAAACCGCTGATTCCACATTATTGGATGTGGTGACTCGATGTGAGGTGCAAAAAGCCGAGTTGAGATAATCTCCGACATCTTTTCTTTCATTTGTTTGTTCTTTTATTTTATATTTTCAATCACAATATTAAGTTGTATGAATGGCATCAAGTAGTTAAGATCATGCGTTATTTATTTTTGGAATTTCTATTGTTTGTAATAAGACTATCTGTGAGTGATCGTGTTGCCAAAATTATAAAGGGTGATTATTATTAAAAAAAAAAAAAAATTATAGTTCACCAGCAAAAGATCACATAGATCTTTCTTTCAGATGGCCCTAAAATAGGGGAGAACGGGCCCATGTAGCTGGTCTCCTCCATCAAATGATGTCTTGAAAGGGGAAAATATATGATCAGCCTCATAGCGGACTAGAAGATTACTGAGCAAATTTTTAAACAGGTTAAAAAAAGAAAAATAAAAGAAGTAATATAAAGCATTAGAAGATTAAAAAGATCTATAAAATATTGATTATTGAAATTTTAATTTAAATTTCAAATGTCTTTTTAAAAAAATTGAAAAAAGGAAACATCCAAAGATTCTGAAATAATCTAAAATAAAAACTACCAAAATCATCCTAAACTTATCTCTAACAAGTATAGTGATATATTGTTAATGTTTTTCCTATTTTTATTTATTTATTACATTTATGAGGGAGGGGCAAGTTTTGGTGGGACTCGCCCTTGAGTTCGCGTGGACTCGAGAATCACGAAAAGCTGGTGAAAGTGGTTCCGAAAGAAGAATCCAAAGAATGACTTCTTTTTGTTCTGAGGTTGCATTTTCGTACCAGGTTTTAATTCGTAGAAATCAGTTCCAAATTTGGGCATTCGAAACGAGTGTAAATTGATAATAGAAAGGCTAAAATTTAAAGGAAAGTTGTTTGATAGGGCTGCGGTCCTATCAAAGGTAGTAAAGCCTCAGCTCATAACTCACGTTAATTGTAATTCTAGCATCGGAAAACCATTGATCATCTCGACTTGAAACTCTTGCTTGTAAAAAAAAATTAGAATTTCAAACTCTAAAAATAGTGAATATTGTAACAAATTGTCTACAGCGTCCATTTAACACTAAAAATAAGTGTCCATAGATCCACAAGATTTATACATTTTTTTTACTTCCAAAGTTTATTATCAGCGTTGAAAATTGATTTTAGATCCATCCTAGAGATTTCTATTACCAAAATCCAATACGAGGATTTGAGGTGGGGATTTATTTTATTGTCGTAAAGCTTAGGCCTTATAAAAACTTCATCTTAAAATTTCCTACACTTTTTTTCTTCCCTTTTTTTTTTTTTTTTTTCAGAATTTTGACCTTTTAAGACCACCTTAAAATGTTTTAGACTCTTTTTTTTTTTGGGTAGAATTTTGGCCTCCTCTACCTAGATATTGGAAAAACAAAAAAAAAGAAAAAAAAAAAAAAAGAAGGCATGATCCTATTGGGAGATAAATAAGGGTGACAAGGGACCGGGCCGTGAGACAAACCTGGCCCTGGCCCGACCATTGTCCCATAGGACGGCTCTGGCGCTGCCCCTAGCCCAACCCTCGTGCCACAGTAGCTGAGGCTTCCTTTCTTAGGGGCGGCAGATCAGGCCCGGAGTCCCGGACCTTTGCCGGTTCCAGAGACGAAGACCTTTCACTCCATCGACAAACTTAAATCCCAATGAGAAGTGGTCCTTGTCTAAAGGAAATATCCTCCAACACCTCAGAAGCCGTACACTTTTAATTCTTTCACTCCCACAATCAACGCGGTTTCCAGGTCATGCGCTCGCTGAGCCTCGGAACAAATGTTGATCAGTGTGAACGGCCGGGTCCGGTCTCTCTGTTCACCATCTTGCCCGATTGCTCCACTTTAGGAGCAGGACTTCAGTTTCTGATGGATCCGGATCCACCTCGCTGAAGCTTCGAAGTGGTTTCTTTTAGCAGCCGGACCACACCTAGACCCATCAAATTATTTTCACCACTATCCTCATTTAGGGGGTGAGAAACAGGTGGAGTGGACGAGTAGACCCCATGAATTGATTTGATCGGATCCGAGTCTCGATCCACATGATGGAGGTTATGGATTGGGTCTGGGTCTACTTGACCCGATCCGATCCGACTTGGGTTAGGGCCAGATCCAATTTAAACCCTTTCGGATTTGGTTTGGTGGGGTCAGGCCCTCACTTTGCATTTATACATACAACATGCGCAAAAATATATGGTAACCATATAGGATAAAATACATTCACATACTTCTTTTATATTTTTTTATTTTTAGATCTGAACCCATGGTCAAGAACTCAAGATTGGGTTGGAGCCCAACCTAAACTCGGTCGGGTTGGGTCCAAGTTTAGTCGACTTGGAAGATACCCGACCGAGCCATTTTTACCCTTAAACTTACCCACTAATCTTTATATTTTGGAAAATTGTTTGGTTAGTCGGCTTACTCACGCTATTTAAGGCGTTCTACCAATAAACTATATTTCAAAGATGTATTTTCCATTCAAAATTTGAAGTTCAATAATCTCAACCGTGACAATTATCTAAATTTGGAAATTTAATTTTTAAAAGATTGTAAATGTTATTTTTTGAATTCCTTTCATCACCATCCAATTTAGCTTTTAATAGATGTAATATTTTTTTTATATCCGGACGTTAGATAGACAAGGGACCGCAGGGTAACGAGTGACCCGACCGACGCAGCAAAACCGTGTCCTTATCTTTTTGTTGCCTTCTCGATATCCATATGTGGTCCATATTTTCTCACTCTTCCCAAGTCGATTGTTTCCATAATCTTTGCGATTGCGAATCCAAGTTATTGTTTACAGACTTGTGATCGTGGGCCTTGCGTATATTATTAAAAAAAACTCATAAAAAAATATTAAAAATCAGAAAAGTATAAACAATGAAAAAGTTTATAAGAGATGAAACTTTTTCAAAAAGCAAAATGCTGATCAAATATAATTTTATCTTTTTTTTTTTAAGCTTGATTAAATATAACTTTCTCATAATAAATGAGAAAATAAAAGAATTAAAAGCCAAAAAACCATACAAATAAATGAGAAGCTGATAATTAGTCAATTAAAATTGATTTAATAAAATATTAGATTTTTTTATATATACAAATCTTTTTAATCCACCAATATAAGAAAAAAAAAATGGCAGGATGAAAACCGAAGTATTCGACCAGGCCCATCAACCCATTGGATCATTTCCTAAGTAAACAAGAACCAGTTACTGGTAATTACATAGGAATAAAAGATCATCCAGTTTGTTTTATGAAAGTTGACTGATTTTTTTATTACCCTGGTTTTTTAACCTCTGAGTTCGATATGAATCACTAAACTCTGTAACATTTTCCAACCCATATGATCAGTTCCCTTCCTATAAAAGAAAAAAAGCCAGGTACAATCACAAAGGATAAAGGATTACCCGGAATTTTTCCCTTTCGCCTTCACGACATAGTAGAGATCAGACGACAAGGGCTCGCCAAGAGCGGGGATGAAATACGCAGGATCTCTGTAGGTATATGTGTGGCTATGTTTGCCACCTCCCTGTCGCTCTGTAAATTTCACGATTATCTGTTTGTTTTGTGGGAACGGAGTGCTCTTCAGACGGATATCAGTTTCACAACTCCAACAACAGGCATCCATGTCTGAATCTTCGTCAATGTCCTGCAAGACGAGGTACCCGGAAAAAGGGCCCTCTGGTGGTGGGTCGAAAAGCGTGTTCCCATCGGCTCTTCCAGTGCCGGCTTGCCGGAAAAGTGACAGTGGTTTTGTTACATACATGGTCAGAGAGAGAAAAAATACCGCAAAGAACGGTGGTCCTTTCTCAATGGTTAATAGGAAGAATTTCTCAATGGTTAATAGGAATTGATAATGAAAAATATATAACCAATTTATATTAAGGAATTGGGTGTCAAGAGAAGCGCACGTCAAACGCGTTTGTTGGTATTGCGTGTTGTTTTCTGCTTTATTGGCGAGCTTGAGATGTGAATGAGCCGCCATAGTTTTATAGGCATAAAATATTAGAAAAAATAAATATTACAAAAAGCTTCCCAATTAAAATATTATAAAAGCTTAAAATTTTGCAAATTTTTTTGTTTGGATGTTATTTGACAAAAGTTGAAAATTGTTTTGGCCATAAATATTTATTTTGAAAAATTTATGTAAATATCCGTTATATTTTTTGTTGTTATTAAAAGACCTGAAAATTTATGCTATTATTATACATGTGTTTTTTTTTTCAACTTCATAACACTTTTTTTTTTAAAACGATGAAATTGCCCATTTTCGGTTTTTGAAAAGCTGATTTTTTTTTTTTTTGGTTTTTTAAAAACCAATTTTTATTTTTAAATTTTGATTTTGAAATATTGAATTTTTAAATATCAATATTATGTGTGTCCAAATATTTAAAAAAAAATATCTGTTATATTTTTTGTTAAAACAAAAATATTCAAAACTTTACTTTATTGTACGGATGTCATTTTTTTAACTTCATAATACTTTTCTTTTTAAAAGACAAAACTATCCATTTTCTATTTTTGAAAAGCTGATTTTGTTTTTTGTTTATTTGGTTTTTGAAACTCTCTTTCTCTCTACCCTCCTTCTACCGAAGTTTTTCTTTAATTTACAATGGGGCAAAACCCTGCAAACTTTAATATGCCCTCAATCGGTGAAGATTTAACCCAAGACAAAGGAGGTTGAAAATTTGGTTGAACCATATCATAAAATCCACGGAAACCCTATTAAAAATCGCAGGAGGAGATGTAGATGGTGAAAGCTTGCAATGCTCACAAAGGCACAGAAGCTCCAATAAAGATAACAGGTTGAAAACCAATGGATTTTGGACCAAAACTGAAATTCGGTTTTCCAAAAAGGAGCGTGAAGACGACCTTTTGGCTATGGGAGTAAAGCTGCCACTCAAGCCCAAGAAGAGACCGACAACTGCAAATAAATACATAGGGTTAGTATTTGGTTTCTCCCTCCTTTCTCTCCTCTCCCAAATCTCCCCAAAAAATAAATATTCACCAAAACTGAATTTTCTCTATTTACATTCATAAACCTAAATAAAATGAGATTGAAAGCAGTGGTTTTGATTGGGCTAGCAAGAAGAAGAGCTTGAATCTATAGAAAAAGAATGAGCATTTGTAGAGAAAGTTGGCAAATAAGACTTCGGTAGAAGGGTAGAGAGAGAGAGAGTGTTTCAAAACCAAAAAAAGCAAAAAAACAAAATTGGTTGTTAAAAAGCAAAAAATAAGTAGTATTGTCTTTAAAAACAAAAAGTGTTATGAAGTTGAAAAAACGGACATAGTATAACAACATAAAGTTTTAGATATTTTCGTAATAACAAGAAATATAACGGATATTTATATAATCTACACAATATTTAAAGATGGGTTGAATTGGTTTTTCGGCTATCATCTATGCCTTTACACTTTTTTTTCTAAAAAGTTTAGGGTATTTTCGTAAAAAAGAAGTTATGAAGGTTGAAAAAATGACCATATGAGTAATAATATAAAGTTTAATGTACTTTTGTAATGGCATGAAATATAACGGATACTTGATAGTTTTTTTATTTATTTTTTTATTATTTTAAAAATCCCTTTCATAAGAAATTGTTTTTTATCAAAAAAATCATTTTCGCTACTTCTTTAACTTCATTTAGATGTGTGCTTGACTCGGGCCTTGGAGAGCGGCCCATGATGTCAGATGACGGACACCATGAAGTAACACGACGGGCACTTTTTAGCATCGGACTTTCTTGGAACTTTTTGAAAATATTCAAATTTGTGGCGTTGTTTATAATTTCTTGCGGAGGGCAGACATGGGCAAGAAGCAACCACACAATATCCATTCTTACTTTCCACGTGGACCTTACTATTGCACAAGGACATGAGCTCATTTAATTTTATATGGCCCTTTGCTCTCACATTTGAAAAATATTTTACGAAGCTCATTTTTTTATCTTCTACCGTAGGATTATTTCTTTGGAAAAACCCCCAAATATTTCACCTAACCCTTACATCTCTTTTTTCCCTCGTTTTTTTTTTTTGTCCATAAAACTGATCCCATCAAAAATTTTATTCCATCTCAATCTAAACTTTTTTAAACCTCAGGCATGCTTTTGTTTTTGGGTTCGTGGGTTTTTGGATTTTTTGCTTGCATTCTCTACTAAGCTGCCTTCTTGCAAAGTGTTGGGGATGTTTCTTAAAAAGAAATTGTCTCTCCTATCTTCATTTTTTTTCTTTACTTCTTTTTTTTTTTCAGTGATTTTCTCCACTTGTTCTTGATTTAAATGAGAGTGTTGTTTGGTTTTCTATTTTTTTGTTGTTGTAATCATTTCATACATGGCCGGTTTAAAGAATGGGTTCATGGCGAAAACCTATTTCAGGGCAATGAATGCATGTTTCATTTTTTTTCTTGGCTTTATTTGTCTGGAATAATTTCTGGTGTTGTGATACTTATATTGTTCACAGCAATGACTATTTATTTTGGGCAAGTCTCGAAAGCATGTGAGGTGAGTCCAATTACTCTCTCCCTCGGATGGTTGTGGGTGAGTGACAAAATCCCCCTTTAAGCCACTATTTATTTATTATTGGTACCATCGTAAAAAGTACATTATTGAAAAAAAATTATTATTCTTGGTCCTATATTCACAGGTTAGTTGAAATATGATAAACACAAGTAGTCGATTGTTCTTGTGTATATATGGTGGTGGGCTTCGCTCTAGCTCAGATGGCAGCATGGAGTTTGTTGGTGGGGATTCAAGTGCATTCTCTATTCACCAACACACGAAGTTGGAGGAGATAAAGGAACATATAGCAAAGCGATTCTCCATAGACTCATGTGCAACGTCGCTGAGGTATATTTTCCCATGTAATAAGAAACGCCTTGTCACCTTAATTAGTGACATTGATTTAGAAACACTGCTACTTGCACATGAAGACTCCAATGAACTTGAAATATATGTCTTTGATGGATGTGAACAAAGGAGTGGCGCTCCTCTGGTAAACATTCACACAAGGTATGTTTATCATTGGTTTTATATTTATATCTATACATTATTAAATATTTATATCTATACATTATTAAGTTAGTCTAATAGCCTTTTTGAATAGTAGCATTTTATTTCATTTGATGTTTTAGGGGCAATGATGGCTTGAGGGGTCAACCCTTTACTTCGAATGTTGAGGAAGGCAATAATGGTCAAAATAATATGCCTCGCTTGCTTAACACATGAGAAAATCTATTAAGTGGCATTGGACAAGAATTTCTTAGTATAAATGATTTTCATTATGCTCTTAGCAAGTATGCGATGACACACCACTTTGAATTTGTATATATAAAAAATGAGAACTATCGGGTAAGGGCAAGATGTAAGAGAAATAACTGTCAATGGGAGATTTTGGCTTCTAAAGTTGGACAACAGAAAATGTTCAACATCAAAACTTAGCAGAGAGAGAATTCATGTGGTGTGGGGGTGAGCATCAATGTCCATAAGAGAGCATCATAACAATTTGTTGCCAGCCTCATTAAAAGTAAGCTAAGTGACACCCCAAGATACAAATCGGAGAAATAATGAAGGATATAGCTCGAGATTATGAGATAGAGCTTTCATATCTTAAAGTATGGCACGGCAAGGAGACAACGATAAAAGAGTTGCATGGTTTTCAAAATGAGGCTTACAATCGCCTCCCAGCATAAGTCGATCGCCTTTTATAGACAAATCCTAGAAGCCATGTGGCACTTCAAAAATGGCCAGACAATAAAATTCGATAAGTCTTTTTTTCTTTCGCTGCATCAATATATTGCTTTAAAAATAGGAATCGTCGACTCATTTTCCTTGACAGAACACACTTGAAAGCTCGGTTTCTTGGAACATTGCTTGCTGCCACCTCTACAGACTCTGAGGATGAGATGTTCCCAATTGCATATTCTATCGTTGATGCAGAAGATTCTGACAATTGGTTTTAGTTTCTAGAAAACTTGAAGAGTGCTATAGGAATGGAGCGATCAATCACATTTATATTTGATAGATATATTAGTTGGTTAACAACATCCAAAAAGTGTTTCAAAATGCTGAGTATGCCTTTTGCGAGTATCATATGACAGAAAATCTTTAGAAGGAGATGAAATATATTCCTCGTGATGTTAAAACGGCTATTATATCAACTTTTCAATGTGCCACACGTACATTTAAGCAATATGAATTCAACCAAAAAATGAGAGAGATTCAAAGCCATTCCCAAGAGGAATATAGATGGGTAATAGAGTCATCACTAGAGCATTGGGCTACTACAATATTCAAGGGAAAGCGGTATGGACATGTTACAACAAATGTAGCCGAATCATTTAATAATTGGATTCCAGAGGCTCGTGAACTCCTTATATTACAATGCCTAGATTGAGTCAGGAGGCAAATGACGCAATTGATGGCCGAGAACCTTTTGGAGTCTGAAAAGTGGACTGCTATTCTCACCCCCAAAAATGGAAAAGAGATTGGCAGGAAACATAAAGAGCTCTCTTTCTGTAAGTGTTATAAGGGTTTCAAGTGAGGAATTTGAAACAATTGCAGACTATAGGACTTGCTCTGTGAACATAGTCACACAAGGTGTGAGTGTTAGGAATGACAGATCAGGGGATTGCCATGCAATCATGCATGTAAATCCCGATATGTGGCCTAAAGGGGATTGTATGAATATTGTGATGAATACTTCACAGTTGCAAAGTACCGAGAGACATATTCTAAACCAGTTAAACATATCTCACTATTTGATATGTCATTGCATGGGGAGTCATTTTCAAATGTGCTAGATGTGCTACCACCACACACAAAACGCCCTTCTGGTCGTCCTAATAAGAAACACATTGAGTCACAAGAGGTGGAAGTGAGACCTATTCGTTGTAGCAAGTGTGATCAGCCGGGACATAATAGGGCAAGTTGTAGGGCTGCTCTTCAGTAACAGGT